AAAATAATCCTAGCAGTAGTGTATGGAAAATAATCCTAGCAGTAGTGTATGGAAAATAATCATAGTAGTAGTGTATAGTAGTAGTGTATGGAAAATAATCATAGTAGTAGTGTATGGAAAATAATCCTAGTAGTAGTGTATGGAAAATAATCATAGTAGTAGTGTATGGAAAATAATCCTAGTAGTAGTGTATGGAAAATAATCCTAGCAGTAGTGTATGGAAAATAATCATAGTAGTAGTGTATGGAAAATAATCATAGTAGTAGTGTATGGAAAATAATCATAGTAGTAGTGTATGGAAAACAATCCTAGTAGTAGTGTATGGAAAATAATCCTAGTAGTAGTGTATGGAAAATAATCCTAGTAGTAGTGTATGGAAAATAATCCTAGTAGTAGTGTATGGAAAATAATCATAGTAGTAGTGTATGGAAAATAATCATAGTAGTAGTGTATGGAAAATAATCCTAGTAGTAGTGTATGGAAAATAATCATAGTAGTAGTGTATGGAAAATAATCATAGTAGTAGTGTATGGAAAATAATCATAGTAGTAGTGTATGGAAAATAATCCTAGTAGTAGTGTATGGAAAATAATCATAGTAGTAGTGTATGGAAAATAATCCTAGTAGTAGTGTATGGAAAATAATCCTAGCAGTAGTGTATGGAAAATAATCATAGTAGTAGTGTATGGAAAATAATCATAGTAGTAGTGTATGGAAAATAATCCTAGTAGTAGTGTATGGAAAATAATCCTAGTAGTAGTGTATGGAAAATAATCATAGTAGTAGTGTATGGAAAATAATCATAGTAGTAGTGTATGGAAAATAATCATAGTAGTAGTGTATGGAAAATAATCCTAGTAGTAGAGTTAGTGGTTAATGCCCTGGTGGTAGCAGAGCTGGGAACAGCCGTGCTGTAGCGTTTGGACGCTGGCCTGCGGTTCCGAAAGTCAGGGGTTCAGGTGACGAAGTCGGACTTATTTTTTCAAGACCCTGGCTCTCAGGTCGACGCAGCCCTAAATGGGTAGCAGATAAAGTCATCAGAAGTAAAGGGGACCGCCGAGATGTTGACCGCATCACCAACCAAGTGTCGATTTGTCTATAAAATATAGGACTAGCCCTATATGCCCAGTACGATTGAAGGTGTGGTAAAGGGTCTCTAGTAATAAAGTTAGGAGTGCTAGCTGTTCTTCAAGATAGTTAACCTACCGATCATCATCATCACAGATCGGACAAGTTCACAAGCGATCTGATCCAATCTTTAGCATCTCCCTCAGTGTGTTTCGACAGGTAGCATCAGCTCTGTGTTGGCTAACTATTCTTCTTTTCTAGTATTCATGCCTGGTAACACATTTCTGGCTTGAAATATTTTGCAATCTTATCAAGGTTCCCGATTCACCGTTGCTTCCTGAATCACCCACTCGTCCTGCCTCCCCAAGAGAACTAAGAACATCGGTCTGGTCTAGTGCTTTTCCCGAATTTACTGTGGCCGGCCGGCCAGCCGATCCACTCGTTCATTCCCTCTTACTCATTAAACTGATTTCTGTCAGTCAGACGAGGAACTTCCGAATCAAGATGGTGGCTGTCACTGTCGAGTTTTCTAACAGTCACTAAATATACATGAGGAGGAAGGATGTTGTTCATTATGTATTATGTTGTCATAAAAACTTGAGTAATAACAATAATGGTTGTAGCAGCAGCAGCAGCAGTAAAAGCAGTAATAATAGATGTAATTGTAGTAACACTTGTAAAACAGTAATTTGTTTTAGTTGAAACTGACGATGTTATGTGATTCCCCATATTTCCTTTCGGCCTTGCTCTGTCCAGTTTCATCGCGTCTCTGCCCGTCATGTCAATGTGTGACACTAAACCAATTATATCAAACAGCAATTGATCTGACAATCAGTAATTCAATTTCTTCTTCGACATTGAAGAGAGTGGGCGTGTATAGTCCCATGAGACAGTTGGATGAAGCCACGCTGGAAGACATACCTGCCGCGATTGCTTCAGTCAGATTCTGAGGAAAGATGTCATACACAAAGTCAATGGACAGTACCAATATACCATGCTAACTTCGTACAAGCATAGCAACGGATTTATTTATAATGAAAAAATAATGAATGTTAAAACTTTGGTCACGCTGTACACAGGATATGGTTCTTCTCTTTTAGTTCACCCTATCCCTGGGAATCCCAGAGTTCATCGGGAAAGTCCAATAGATAGGGGTGTTATGGTGTGAAATAAGCACCGACTAACTCTAAATCTAAGTCGAATCCTAACACCCTTAACACCCCTATAATAATGGACTTTCCTTGCGAATTCTCGGATTCCCCGAGATGGGATGAACTAAAGAAAAGTACCAAGGATATTCAGTTACAAAGTGGCAACACGAATTTCAACGGACAGAGAATAGAGTTCGTGTTAACGAATATTCGCGCTAACCTGTTCCTTTGACAAGCTGCTGTTCTTGCAGTCTGGTCATGGTTGCAGATTCACAATCATCACTTGGTTCGCGCAAATGTCTTATTTCTCGTAGAATATTCATTATATTGTCCATAGTTCATTGGCCCTCAACAGTAACTTCACCTGCAAGCCTATCAGCTTGCTCATTTCCTTGCACGCCTTCGTGCACTGGCACAAATATGAAATTGATGTGTGCTAACCCCGACCGCTTTAGAGGCTCCAACCACCGTCTTCTGACCGAGCCTAGCTCTATGTTCCCGAACATACTCACCGAGTCACTGAGAAAGCATGCGCGGGAAAAGATCTATATCTCCATCCACGTAATTTCATTGGTCATTGCAATGACTGCCATAGTCAGACTACTTGTTGTCGAGGCAACAGCACCCGAATCGTGCTTTCCAATTCCAGCTCTAACATGAGCCGTGAAAGCCTGCGAGCTTCTGACATAGTGAACCACACACCCACATCTGTAACTGAGACTGTACTCGAAATAATTCTCGATAATCGAAGCCAGCACTTCTGTCTTCACAGTGGCCGGACTTTGTTGTCTGCATTTTCTGAATAGTATGATAAGGTTAGTTGCGTATCCTTTACAGGACGTTGCAGAACCAACCCCAACAGCCCCTGGCTGTTGTGTGGTTTTTCTAGACAAATTTACGTCCAGTAGTTTGCCTAGCTTGTCATTGCTCCCTGGACGGTCGGCTTTCTTGAAACCACTGTCGAAACCAACGCAAGGCGCATGGACCGCAGCTGGGATCGAACCCGGCATCCCGGCATTACGAAGCGTGCGCATCGATTAGCCACAGAGCCGACGAATAGTCTGATGCAAACAGAAATTATCGTAAAACACTTTGTTGGCACTTGAACCCCTTGCTCAGTAGGTTCTGTGTCCACAAGTGAACACAATACATCTGCTGTGACGCCAGACAACGACTGTGGAGCACACAGATAATCCACATGAAGCCATTTGTATGTGGAAACATGAAAGTACAACTATGTGGAAACATGAAAGTACAACTAAATGGAAACATGAAAATACAACAGACTAAACAGAATCTTACTCTTTGACAATGTTTAAATGCTTCCTGTTTTAAAAGGTCAAGGTTCAAAACTTCATCAGGCCCCACAGCTCCGAGTGCAAGGGGTGCATAGACGAACCCCTGCGTGGCGTAGAACTTGGACTCGTCCACGCTCGGCTGGTAGACGTTTCCTGGTTGTACAATAACAATCGCCGTTATCATCAACAGAAACAATAACATCATTATCATCATCACCATCATCATCATCAACATATGCTACTACTATCATTACTACTACTATTATTACTACGACTACTAGTACCTCTCCTACTAATAGTTACACTACTACCACTACCCTACTGCACACTTCTATTACTACTACGGCTAGTGCTACAACTATTACAAATCATGCTACTATCGTCACTCCTCCTCCTCCTCCTACTACTACTATTACCCTACTAAACTCCTACTACTACTTATACTACACTGCTACCACTACTACACTCCTACTGCTGCTGCTGCTGTTACTACTACTACTACTACTACTACTACTACTACTACTACTACTACTACTACTACTACTACTACTACTACTACTACTACTACTACTACAACAACTACTACTACTACTACTACTGCTGCTGCTGCTGCTGCTGCTGCTGCTGCTACTACTACTACTACTACTACTACTACTACTACTACTACTACTCGTCCTGCTACTACTACTACTACTACTACTACTACTACTACTACTACTACTACTACTGCTACTACTACTACTACTACTACTACTACTACTACTACTACTACTACTACTAGTACTACTACTACTCGTCTTGCTACTACTAATACTACTACTAATACTGCAGCTGCTACTGCTACTACTACTACTACTACTACTACTACTACTACTACTACTACTACTACTACTACTATACTACTACTACTACTACTACTACTGCTGCTGCTGCTACTACGACTACTACTACTACTCGTCCTGCTACTACTACTACTACTACTACTACTACTACTACTACTACTACTACTACTACTACTACTACTACTACTACTACTACTACTACTACTACTACTACTACTACTACTACTACTACTACTAGTACTACTACTACTCGTCTTGCTACTACTACTACTACTACTACTACTACTACTACTACTACTACTACTACTACTACTACTACTACTACTACTACTACTACTACTACTACTACTACTGGTGCTATTGCTGTTACCGCTGCGGCAACTAGATCTACATTTTTTAGACAATAATATCTTGAAAAAGAGCCTTGTCCAGGAGAACTGGACAATTTGGACTATACTGAACTCAACAAGAGGTCCAAAACTTAAATGTTGGATGCAGATCCGTTAGACAGATCTGTCTTATTTGTGTACAGACTGTTCGCTCCTCGCCTTTCAGGCAGATGCAACTCATTTTACGACACCCTTTTCAGGTGGCAATGGGACTATTTTATATTCTTCCCACTATGCAACCTCACAACTCACCGATCGCGCAGGGCTTCGGCTCGCATTTCAATCCTGTCTCTGGCTTAAGGATGATTTCCAGAATCTCCTGGCAACTTCCAGGGTCGCTACTTCCGTTCATTTGTACGGGCACGCCTTCGTATGTTTCGATTTCTTTGCTGTCACCTGAAGACCAAATAAGATCAATATACAGTTTAAGAAATACATATTGATTTCGCCAGCCACGTTTAAAAAAAAAACAAAAATTAAATCACAAATGCATACATTGTTGCCAGTTAAAACTAGGGCTCTAATGCCTGAGATCTCAGTTTAAATCCCGCTTAGGTCACGACCGGCTCCAGCTGACGGGCCGTGCTGCTGACGTCATCGGGTTGGGCTAACGATGCGTTAACGCAGCGGTTCCCAAACGGGGTGCCGTGGGCGCATGCCAGGGGTGCCGCGGCAATAATCAAGAAAAGTCGGTTACAAATTGTGAAAGTATTAAAGAAGACATGTAGAAAATGTCAGTTGTCTTCCCTTGCCCCTGTCGAAGATAGTTTATTTCTTGTTTAAGAACCGCCGCGTTAACGCATCGTTAGCCCAACATCCGAACGTCCATGGTCAGGGGAGACTGTACTAGCCATGCGGTCTTTACTCCTCGGGTTCAAGACTCTCCACCCTTTACCGCCGACATAACAAGTGGTACTTGCGGTAGTGTAGACAATAGTTTTTAGTTTGTCAATACACATAATAACAGTAATAATATGATATAATAATAATAATAATAATAATAATAATAATAATAATAATAATAATAATAATAATAATAATAAAGTGAAGGACCATCTTCCACGCATTCAGGCCTATCGGGCATATAGGGCTAGACCTATAACGGATTAATATCGAATATTGGACAGACAGACAGACATACAGACAAACAGACAGACAGGCAGACCTATCTTACTTTATGTTTGAGATCTTTTAATTTGTGAGCATTGCGTTGTTGTTGTTTTTTTTTTTTTGGGGGGTGGGGGGGGGGTGGTCTGTGGTATTCTTAATGATGATGATGATGATAATAATGCTAATGATGATGATCAAAATAAACGGTGAATAGATATAACTATTTACGCCATAGAGTCACTATGTCATAGTTATGTTTTTAGCTTGAGTAAACTGACAACGATGACTCCATGTGTTATTACTAGATCAGTAACAGTGTGCTTAACTTCTGACCCAGCCAAGCTGTCCGAGGTTTTTGCCGTCTCCAGAAAACGTCCTACATTTCTTCCAGTATACTAAATTGTTTCTTTATGTATTCTTAACGTTCTCTCTGTCGCGTTTAGTTACCAAATCCCAACTTTCAGTGTATACCACAGCTCCTGTACTCACCAGACCTAGTCCCAAGTGACTTCCGGTCCAAAATGGAAGATTAGGCATCGCATAATAGAAAGCTTCGAAGTTATTTTTGCTTCCGACAGGGCTTTGCTAATGTGGTTTCTACATATAAACGAAAGTCTACAGTTTCGCTGCCTAAGCTACTGAGTTGTAGTGCTGGGTGCAGCCCTGTGAGCTGTGTTTTTCATTTGAAATGACTTTCATTTGTGCAGCTGTTGTTTTTTAGTTTTTAAAACAGCCGGTAGTCTGTTCACTTGTGAAATACCATTATGTAATAATTATACGTGTGTGTAGCCATCTTATTGTGACCGGGCATTTCCATCTAAGACAAACTACATTTCATGTGGCGGCTGTTTGCTTTGACGTCGCTAACAACTGCCATATGCAAATCCTGAATGGACATATTTCTGGATTGTGCCGGGACAATTGTTTCTTTTCCCAGTCTTTTTCAAATGCGACAGTACTGAGGGACATTTCATTTGATTTCACTCCCGCAGGAAAGGTGCAAGTATGGGGGAAAACCCGATTGCAGCGAAATCGAACCTTGACTTATTCTTCTCTTGCACGTCAGACATGTGGCTCCCTTCTGGGTCACAAAGAGGATTGTGCGTTTAAGGTCGCCACCGGTCCTCCCCAGTCTTTGCTGGGAGAGGCTAAGGGCAGTACTGTAGTATGTGCCCAGGAGTCTGTCTTTTTGCTCCACAATCACAGGCAGCAGATTCTTTTATGCCTATCCTGTACAGGTGTGCTCGAAGATCACAGTGTCCAGTCCGAAGTCTAAAAATTGTTGTTTGTTCTTTCCTGTTGAGTTTGTTTATGCTGTCACTCTCTGGTCTGTAATCTCCAGACTAAGACTATGAGTTTGACCTGTTCAGACTTTTCAAAGGATTATAGAGAAAAGACTTTCCGAATCAGATAAAAAATACAACGGGTGATGCAGGATTGGTTCCACTCGCCACTAACAAAATGTTTGTTGACAGGAATTCAAGGACAGCCCATTAACATTTTCAGTTGAAACCGGGACCTCCATTAACATTTACCGCTGCAAAGTAGATATCTGATTAAAATTGTGAGCTGAAAATGGGACATCCCGAGAAATTTAATTTAACCACAACACCCTTTACCCCCTTGATCGCCGGAAAGAAGTTTTTGATTACTTGCTCGACAATGGTATTTAAGCACAAGTCATTTTTACCAAGAGATAAATGAAATAATTTGATCTTTATTTGCGCCGAATAAAAAAAAATCGAAATTAAAATGTCCGTCAACACGTTTCAGGCATTAAAAGTAGCTATGAAATCTAATAAGGTGTAGATATATATGCAAGGAGTGTGTGTTCTACTCTCCAGCTATTTCTTATATGTTTGGGGGATAATATGGGACAACTGAGTGCCAACAGGACAACCAAAACAGGTCTAAAACCCGAGACTATCCCGCTCCGCTCGCTCGCACACACAAAACACACACAAAACACATACATACCAGTTCTGGCAAATGCTTACCTTTCAGCATGCAAGGGTTATCATACGTCACGCTGTCTGAATAGTTTCGTTTGATAACTTCTGCCACCCACTGGTTGACAGCGTTAATGCCAAACAAGAGGTAACTGTGCGCGTACAGCTCATAACTGCGTCCATCTATGGTGATCTGTGACGCAACAACAGCAACGAAAGACACTGTTAAACATTGTTATTGTTACAATCCTAGATATTCCCTTAGTACCTGTGCAACAGGTACTGTGAGATGCAACGTTTATTTACATAGATATTCCATTGTGGGATGCAATCTTTCGTTTTTTAAAGCTCCACCCTGGCTTTTGCCGTGGACCCAGAATATAGCTGGGCCACAATTGTGGCCATAAACAGCTGAAAAAGGTTTTTGGGACCTCTCCACGGGTGATCCTCATCCGCATGGTAGCACTTTGTGTCACCGTGTGTTTATCGCTTGTTTGATGTCATAGTTGGGTACACCAAGCAAGCAAGTGAACATTGTTAACGTTTTGATTCTCAACGCAAGCCTAAATATGGTCTATCTACCTAGCTGCTGACGCTGACCTCTGCAACTCTCGCGCTGCTATCAACCATCGTCGAGAATATCCGAGCATTCCACATCGTCTTGATTGTGTTGTTCGTCCATCACTGTCGATGATGACCACATTTTCTTTCCTCTGTCATAAAACTATAGTTCATTGTCTGTGAGTCTGGGGGCGACTTAAAAGCTGACAAACAACCCAGCGCTAGATGTAAATTCACCTTATGTAAGAAAAAAAAAAAAAAAGAAGAAGAAACTCCAAAGGGGAGCATGTACAGCAGGAGTCTACCAATCATCATTAGAAATGATCTCTCGTCCACAGTTGTTTCGGCCCACGAGCTCCTAGACAATCTCAGAGGGTGGGCCCACCCGAGTTCATGAAGCTCAGGCTTGATCTGCTTCTGCTGCACGAATTACCGGATTTTCTCGGACAGGGACAAGGCGGAAATGGTGACTATGCAACAGGCACTGTGAGATTCGAAGTTTATTTACATTGTCGCTGCGGTAGCCTATTACATCGGTCGGCATATCTTGACGACCAAGTGGTAAGCTTAAGGTTGGTTTAGCGGACACATGTTAGACTTCGTTGGCAATGACTCCTATACTGTTACTATTTTAACACCTTGTGACTTTTACGTGTTTTTTTTTTTTTTAATAGAAATTTCCAGGACAGAAAAAGACTAAGTAATTACTATGTGGGACCGAAACAGTGGCGAGGCGTGATAAAGTCGTATATGTAAGCTGTTTAGACAAAATTAAACGCAATCAATAATGTTTACTGTGAAGATTTTGTCTTTTGATATTTTCTCTTTCCATTCATGGCTGTCAACATCATGCGTGTGCAGCAAGCATAGTACTATTAGTAACTGTTAGCTCTCATACTTTACGGCTTCTACCGTCGTGACATCAGAATCTATCGATCGTTCTCTTTGCTATGTTAATACTGTCAACAAGCTGCACGTGCTCTGCAGAAGTAAAAACATTAACCTTGTAGTTTAATAACAGTTGGTTAGTTGCGTATCCTTCACAGCATGTTTTGGCTGTTTTTGTTTTTCTAGGCAAATTTTACGTTCAGTAGTTTGCCATTGCTTACTGAACGGTCAAAACCAAGGCAAGACAAATTGTTCGGGATTGAACCCGGCACCCCGACATTACGAAGACTGTCTAAGCCACAGACACCGACTTAATAACCAGTACACAGTAGTAATAATTAGTGCAATCATGCATTTTACTTTTGCCGTCTGAAGTACAGGTGACGATGACATCCGTTACATGCACGCTTCGCCACTGGACCGACACAGTCAAGTAATGCGCTGACTGGCACTTAGAGACGCAGAAAAAAGAAGCAGAAATGAGAGAACTTACTGACAACATAAACATCAACAGCTGTAGTGGCTACGTCAGGGATAGAACCTACCGTCTGCAGCTGATGACTGAGTCGAGCAGAGGAAAAGGAAAACAGATCTATACATGCATGAAAGAGAAGGACACAACAACAACTGCAATATCCAACGACGATGATAACTGAAGTGGTGAAGAAAATGATGATGATGGTGGTGGTGATGATGATGATGGTGGTCATGGTGATGCTAATGATGGGGATGATGATTACTCTGAGAGTGATAACGATGATGATGATGGTGATGATTGATGATGGTGATGATTGATGATGGTGATGACGATGATGTTAATGATAATGATGATGGCGATGATGATGGTGATGATGATGATGATGATGATGATGATGATGGTGATGATGATAGTGATGGTGATGATGATGGTGATGGTGATTGTGATGGTGATGATGTTGGTGATGGTGATGATGATGGTGATGATGATAGTGATGATGATGATGATGATGATGGTGATGATGATAGTGATGGTGATGATGATGGTGGTGATGATGATGGTGATGATGATGGTGATGATGATGGTGATGATGATGGTGATGATGATGGTGATGACGGTGATGATGATGATGATGATGACGGTGATGGTGATGACGGTGATGGAGATGATACGGTGATGATGATGATGATGATGACGGTGATGGTGATGGTGATGGTGATGACGGTGATGATGATGATGATGATGACGATGACGATGACGATGACGGTGATGGTGATGATGATGGTGATGATAATGGTGATGATAATGGTGATCATGATGGTGATGGTGATGACAGAGATGGTGATGATGACGGTGATGGTGATGATGATGGTGATGACGGTGATGATTATGGTGATGGTGATGATGACGGTGATGGTGATGATGATGATGGTGATGATGACGGTGATGGTGATGATGGTGATGATGACAGTGATGATGACGGTGATGGTGATGATGGTGATGGTGATGATGACAGTGATGGTGATGATGACGGTGATGATGATGATGACAGTGATGATGATGATGACGGTGATGATGATGACGGTGATGGTGATGATGATGATGGTGATGATGACGTGGTGATGATGACGGTGATGGTGATGATGATGGTGATGATGACAGTGATGATGACGGTGATGGTGATGATGGTGATGGTGATGATGACGGTGATGGTGATGATGACGGTGATGATGATGATGACAGTGATGATGATGATGACGATGATGATGATGACGGTGATGATGATGACAGTGATGATGATGATGGTGACGGTGATGATGATGGTGACGGTGATGGTGATGACGGTGATGATGATGACGGAGATGGTGACGGTGATGATGGTGACGGTGATGATGGTGACGGTGATGATGATGATGATGGGGACGGTGATGATGGTGACGGTGATGATGATGACGGTGACAGTGATGATGATGATGGTGATTGTGATTGTGATGATGATAGTGATTGTGATTGTGATGATGATAGTGATTGTGATTGTGATGATGATGCTGAAGACGGCGATGGTGATGATGACGGTGACGGTAATGATGATGATGATGACAGTGATGGTGATGATGATGATGATAATGATGATGACGGTGATGGTAATAATGATGGTGATGATGATGGTGATGGTTGTGATGATGACGATGTTGATAATGATGATGACGGTGATGGTGATTGTGCTGGTGATGATGATGTTTGTGATAATGATAACAGTGATGGTGAAATTAGCAGTGAAGTCTGGACTAACCTGAAATTCCCCATCATAGATTGGAGTGTTTGGAATAAAGGCAATCTGGGTTGACCCTCCGCCCATCTCTAACAGACCCACAGTCTCGTTGTCCGGCCTGCGATGGTCAAAGTTTATAGGTTCAATGACTATCCTATATCCTATTTAACATGTGTTAGTACAAGTAAGCTTCAAAACTTGCAAGCCCGTGCTTGTGGGTTCCACGAATGACAAACAGGGTAGATGCGATTTCCCCAAGTCAGTTTAAACGAACGAACTCTATTTTAAAACTGAGCATGCATGCTAGTCGTTAGTCGAGACTCCAGCATTCCTGCAGATTTTTGGCCCCATATCATGGGTTCTGCGATGAGCTGGAGTAAGAACGAGGCTGACTGCAGGACATCGAACAACCAGTCCAAATTTATGTATACGTCTGTGAATGCTGCTATACTGATACTAACGTTTACAGTTTGTCTCAGCTGACATCTAAGAGTGCGACAAGTCACTGCTCGATTGGGGTGGGGGGGAGTGGGGGCAAGGCTGACAGCAAGAGGTACCGGTCATCATGTTTATTGGTGCACCTAGGGCGATCTGACCTGTGTCGATCTTCCACGCTTCATGTGGCCTGAAATATCTCGAAACTTTTTTTGGATAGTAGAGTGTGGCACTGCAAGCCATCTAGTAACTTCACGAACAGATTAAGCGCTTTCAAACCACCTATTGTTCTCATTCTTTGTATGGTGCCAAGACTTCTTGGTTTTTGCAAGTGATGAAACCAGGGCTGTACCGAATAGTGATTTTCACTATTCTGCCGAATACGAATAAGTGGACCAACTATTCGGCCGAATACAAATACGAATACGAATAGTGAATCATCATCATCAGGTGCTTTGCCGACTGGCATGGGCGATTATGCCTCGCCACAATCTGCGATCTCCTGCAGCATGTATTAGTTCGTGTGCTGACACACCTCCATGCCATGCAACAAGACTGTCAAGAATCTTCTCTCGTTGTCTTCCTCTTTTCAGTAGTTACCACATGTTCACATTTTCTTCATCTTATGACATAACCCAAAAATGATGACTGTCTCGTTGTCTTCGGGCTCCCGCCTCTATCAAAACTTCTTGGTTGCTTGGGGGGGGGGGGGGGGGGGGGGCTGTCCAAGGTATTTTAAGCATTGTTCTGTAAAACCACATCTCTGTGGCCTCAAGAAATTGTTTCGCCTGCCCACCGATTGTTCAGGACTCACAGTCATATTTTAAATCTGGATGTGTGTAGCAAGCAAGAATTCTTTTCCTAACCTTCAATGACAAAAATATATTGCATAAGATGTTCTTCATTTGATAAAATGCAGTTTTTGCCTGTCCTATTCTGTTTCTTATTTTAGTAATGCATCTTCCATCTGATGTGCCCAGATACATAATTTCTGTACCTGTCCCCAAATAAAAACCATTGACTTTTATTACACATTTAGGAATAATTATTTTCTTTGATACCACCATTATTTCTGTCTTCGCGCTATTCAAACTGAGGCCCATTCTTCCACTTTCGTGTAAAAAAAAAATTGATCTGAAAAGAAAACATCCATAATGTAAAATATACGCTGAAATTTTACTTTACAAAATGTAGTACAGAATAGTAAACATTTAAAAACATTTTATGTTTTGCATCCTTCAGTCAGTCATTCTGTGGTAACTAATACATAGGAATGAAAGTATTCTTAGTTTTATAACAAGTAACTAAACTTGTAAATTGTAACTGACAGCTTAGTTAATCCATGAAAGCGGCATTAGCTTTCAAAAAAAAAAAAAAAATCGTTCCATGTTGTCAGCATTAAGGCAGCTTCTTGTCTCACTGAAGGTATTTCCTGCTGTACTAAACAGATGTTCACTTGGTACGCTCGTAGGTGGTGCACAAAGATAACCCTTGACAGTATGAACCAAGGTGGGAAATATTGACATGTTTATTTTCTGCCAGTCCAGAAACGGGTGTAACGTAACCACTACTATTCGTATTCGGCCCGACCGCAACTATTCAGCCGAATACCGAATAGTTATTAGGTCCACTATTCGGCTCCGAAACGAATACGAAGCGAATATAAGGTACAGCCGTAGATGAAACAACCCCGAGTTTGCTGATTGTTAACAAAATTATGAATAAACTCTGTCTACGAACAGACGCCACTGCACGTGTAGCGTCAATCTGCATTATTATTTTACTTGTTTGGTTGTACGGAAGAGAAAAAGAAGATTCAAAATGTGAATTTATGATCAGCAACCCACATTGCACGTGATTACTGTTGTTGTAGGTGAGTTGTTTCTATGCTTTGCGCACACACAGGACGGTCATAGCAAGATATTGCAACAATATTTAACTTAAAAAAAAAAAAAAAACTTTTTTTTTCATCATTCAATATATGCTCTTATATAAAAAGGTATTGTAAATATGGTCGTCTTTGACCTTTGACCAGTAGAATATATTGAATACACAGACAAAATATTGTACAATTTATTGTCTAGTTTATTTCGCCGCACTCAACAGGTGCACCGTATGGGGTTAAAATCAATACACACCGACTGTAATGAAACACACGAATCAAAGGACCCTTCACACACCACTGGCAAATGTGACATGAAACGCCAATGGCAAATGTGACATGACACGTCACTGGCAAATAGGACATGACACGCCAATGGCAAATGGGACATGACACGTCACTGGCAAATAGAACATGACACGCCACTGGAAAATAGGACACGACATGCCACTGGCAAATGGGACATGACACGTCACTGGCAAATGGGACATGACACGTCACTGGCAAATAGGACATGACACGTCACTGGCAAAAAGGACATGACACGCCACTGGCAAGTAGGACATGACACGTCACTGGCAAATAGGACATGACATGCCACTGGCAAATAGGTCATGACACGTCACTGGCAAATAGGACATGACACGTCACTGGCAAATAGGACATGACACGCCACTGGCAAATGGGACATGACACGCCACTGGCAAATAGGACATGTGTAAAGCTGGACGCATATTTGAATAGACCAAATGGCACTGGGTGGGTGATGTGATCAATAAAACGGCTGCTGGCTTTACTTCCCAGAACATTACCTGAAGTCAACATTGACAGATCCCTGTCTAAATTCCATGGTTCCATTTTTTAGGAGTGTTGGGGGGGGGGGGGGGGGGCAAACTCCTGTAACCAAACAAACATGTAGTAAGAGTTAAATAATTAGCTGTGTTTCCCTTGAATTTTAAGCGGCCAGGAACCAAAAGTATTCTTACAAATAAGCCAGACCTGGATTTGCACGGAAAACTGAAGTTCTGGAGCCAGAGTAAAGTCCAGAAGAGGACGAGCAATCAGAACTTTCCACCGGAGTTTACAGACGACGAGAGCTAAAAAGAACATCCTTGAGAGACGCGTGACACAAATCAAAAAGAAGGATAATAAATGCATTTATTAATGTGTCCTTTACAGTGCTTTGTAGAACAAACCCCAGAAATTGCACCTTTACAGTGCTTTGTAGAACAAACCCCATAAATTGCCCCTTTAAAGTGCTTTGTAGAACAAACCCCAGAAATTGCCCCTTGAAAGTTCTTCGTAGAACAAACCCCAGAAATTGCCCCTTTACAGTGCTTTGTAGAACAAACCCCCAGAAATTGCCTCTTTACAGTGCTTTGTAGAACAAACCCCAGAAATTGCCCCTTTACAGTGCTTTGTAGAACAAACCCCAGAAATTGCCCCTTTACAGTGCTTTGTAGAACAAACCCCAGAAATTGCCCATTGAAAGTGCTTTGTAGAACAAACCCCAGAAATTGACCCTTGAAAGTTCTTTGTAGAACAAACCCCAGAAATTGCCCCTTTACAGTGCTTTGTAGAACGAACCCCAGAAATTGCCCCTTTACAGTGCTTTGTAGAACAAACCCCAGAAATTGCCCCTTGAAAGTGCTTTGAAGAACAAACCCCAGAAATTGCCCCTTTTCAGTGCTTTATAGAACAAACCCCAGAAATTGCCCCTTTACAGTTCTTTGTAGAACAAACCCCATGAATTCCCCCTTTACAGTGCTTGTAGAACAAACCCCAGAAATTGCCCCATTTACAGTGCTTGTAAAACAAACCCCATAAATTGCCTCTTTACCAGAAAATATTACACTGAGTAGCTTACCATTTACAAGTTTACAAGTAATGCAATATACATATTACGAACAATATACATATTACGAACAATATACATATTACGAACAATATACATATTACGAACAATATACATATTACGAACACTGATCAATGGACATACAAAATGACTTTTATTTGTGCTGTATAGATTATACCAAAACATTTGACAAAGTTAAACACGAAGAGATGATCATGATGTTGGAAGACATTAATGTAGACTGGAAAGATCTCAGAATAATTAAAAACATTTACTGGAACCAAGTAGCAGCAATTAAAGTGCGAAACATATTAGGTACTTTTAAACAGATAAAGCAATGAGTAAGAGAGGGACGTGTTTTATCCCCAGACCTGTTCTCTCTTTAAAGTGAAATAATTTTGAGTGAAATTAAAGGGAATGCAGGAGTAAGAGGTGAGGATACAATACAATTTGCGTTATGCAGACGATACACTTTTGATAGTATATCAAAGAAGAAGATAATTCCACATTGTGATATCTCAACTGAAGGAAAAAGACTTAACTAAGTCAATAAAATTACGAGGTGCGTTCGCAAGCCCTCAGATGCCAACGCAGCATTCGTCAAACACTTTATCTAAACTTAGTGAAGTTTCCTAAATAATTTGCTGCTATATTACCTGTCCTTAGCGATGTTTACCAGAGGATGACTTGGTGTTTTATTACCTCTTCTTCGCGATGTTTACCAGAGGATTTGCTGTCATATTTCCTGTGTTTATTAAAGTTTTGTAGAGGATTTACCGTTATATTACATGTCTTTATTAAAGTTTTGTAGAGGATTTACCGTTATATTACCAGTGTTTATGAAAGTTTTGTAGAGGATTTACCGTTATATTACCTGTGTTTATGAAAGTTTTGTAGAGGTTTTACCGTTATATTACCTACGTTTAAGAAAGTTTTGTAGAGGATTTACCGTTATATTACCAGTCTTTATGAAAGTTTTGTAGAGGATTTACCGTTATATTACCTGTGTTTATGAAAGTTTTGTAGAGGATTTACCGTTTTATTACCAGTCTTCATGAAAGTTTTGTAGAGGATTTACCGTTATATTACCTGTCTTTATGAAAGTTTTGTAGAGGATTTACAGTTTTATTACCAGTCTTATGAAAGTTTTGTAGAGGATTTACCGTTTTATTACCAGTCTTATGAAAGTTTTGTAGAGCATTTACTGTTATATTACCTGTCTTTATGAAAGTTTTGTAGAGGATTTACCGTTTTATTACCAGTCTTATGAAAGTTTTGTAGAGGATTTACTGTTATATTACCTGTCTTCATTAAAGTTTTGTAGAATATTTACCGTTATATTACCTGTCTTTATGAAAGTTTTGTAGAGGATTTACCGTTATATTACCTGTCTTTATGAAAGTTTTGTAGAGGATTTACCGTTATATTACCTGTCTTTATGAAAGTTTTGTAGAGGATTTACCGTTATATTACCTGTGTTTATGAAAGTTTTGTAGAGGATTTACCGTTATATTACCTGTGTTTATGAAAGTTTTGTAGAGGATTTACCGTTATATTACCTGTCCTTAGCGAAGTTTCCCAGGAGATAATTGAGCGCAATCCAAGAGAAGACACCTTCTTCCTCCCCAGACAAGATGCCGACGTTCTTGCGGCCAGGGAAATGTTTGATCCGGAAACCCTCGAACAACTCAGTGACGTCATTCACCAGTTGCATGGAGTCGACCGGTTTCATAAACCGTAACCCTGATTTGATATCAGTATACATACATATATATATCTATATGGCAAATAGGTCATGACACGCCACTGGCAAATAGGACATGACACGTCACTGGCAAATAGGACATGACACGTCACTGGCAAATAGGACATGACACGTCACTGGCAAATAGGACATGACACGTCACTGGCAAATAGGACATGACACGTCACTGGCAAATAGGACATGACACGTCACTGGCAAATAGGACATGACACGCCACTGGCAAATAGGACATGACACGTCACTGGCAAATAGGACATGACACGTCACTGGCAAATAGGACATGACACGTCACTGGCAAATAGGACATGACACGCCACTGGCAAATAGGACATGACACGTCACTGGCAAATAGGACATGACACGTAACTGGCAAATAGGACATGACACGTCACTGGCAAATAGGACATGACACGTCACTGGCAAATAGGACATGACACGTCACTGGCAAATAGGACATGACACGCCACTGGCAAATAGGACATGACACGCCACTGGCAAATAGGACATATATATATATATATATATATATATATATATATATATATATATATATATATATATATATATATATATATATGGATATTGCGGGAAGCATGAAAAAGTATTTAAACTGTTAGAAAAATTAAACACTGATGAAAAATGGAAAAGATCTACGAATAATAAAGAATATGTATTAGCAGCAAACAGCAGTTATAAGAATTAAGTACTGTTGAGGTATATTTCAAAGCATAAAGAGGGAGTAGGACAAGGATGTGTACTGTCACCTGATTTTTTCTTTCACTATACAGTGAATCATAATGAGATCTTTAATTGACATGCCCGGAATTGTAGTTGGTGGGCACAATATGAACAATTTACGTTATGCTGATGTCACTGTCTTGATAGCAACAAGTCAGAAAGAAATACAGGAAATGATAAGACATTGTGGTGTTAGAAAGTGGAAGAATGGGCCTCAGTTTGAATAATGAGAAGACAGGAGTAATGGTGGTATCAAAGAAACGAATTATTCCTCAATGTGTAATAAAAGTCCATGGTGTTATTTTGGGACAAGTGCAGAAGTTTAAGTATCTGGGCACATAGATAACTTCAGATGGAAGATGCATAACTGAGATAAGAAACAGAATAGGAGAGGCAAAAACTGCATTTTATAAAATGAGGAACATCTTGTGCAATATATCCTTGTCATTGAGAGTTAGAAAAAGAATTCTTGCTTGCCACACACATCCAGTTTTAACATATGGCTGTGAATCCTGGACAATCGGTAGAGAGTTTTTTTGAGGCCTCAGAGATATTGTTTTACAGAAGAATGCTTAGAATACCTTGGACAGACAAAAAGAAAAACCAAGAGGTTTTGTAAGAGGCGGGAGCCCGAAGACAACTTATCACAGACATCAGGAGGAGACAGTCATCATTTTTCGGCAATGTTATGAGAAGGGGAAAAAGAATACATGTGACCACTGGAAAGATCTGTGAAAAAAGGGGGTGGGGGAGGGGGTTAAAGGAAGACAACGAGAGAAGATCCTTGACAGTCTTGTTGCATGGCATGGAGGTGTGTCGGCACACGAACTGATACATGCTGTAGGAGATCGCAGAATCTGGAGAGGCATGATCGCCCACGCCAGTCGGCAAGGCACCTGATGATATATATATATATATATATATATATATATATAATACACACACTCATACACACACATACATAAACACATTAGATATGTACACTTCTCGACAGCTATACAGACAGACAGACAGACATGGACAGGCATAGACAGACAAAGGAAAAGACATCGAACAGAGACAAAAGTAGGCGCTCCGGTATATACATAAACGGACATACATACAGACAGAGCGAAAGAACTTAATTATCAACGGATTAAGAATTTGGCAGGCAGATAGATAGATAGATAGATAGATAGATAGATAGATAGATAGATAGATAGATAGATAGATAGATAGATAGATAGATAGATAGATAGATAGATAGATAGATAGATAGATAGATAGATAGATAGATAGATAGATAGATAGATAGATAGATAGATAGATAGATAGATAGATAGATAGATAGATAGATAGATAGATAGATAGATAGATAGATAGATAGATAGATAGATAGATAGATAGATAGATAGATAGATAGATAGATAGATAGATAGATAGATAGATAGATAGATAGATAGATAGATAGATAGATAGATAGATAGATAGATAGATAGATAGATAGATAGATAGATAGATAGATAGATAGATAGATAGATAGATAGATAGATAAAGAAGAAACAAAGTAGAAGAAGAAGAAGTAAACAACATTAGTAACTTAAACATTACAGTTTGTCATATCAAGACACACCTACCAGCAGTGGCAAGCAAGTAAACATTGGTGTTTGTGTAATATTCGTCTGGAACTATCTTCTTGACCTCCTTCAGCGCGTTTCTCAGGTAGTTTCTCAGCCCGTTCTTGTCGTTCACGAAAGTGTC